ATGTCATCAACATATACGGCAAGTACAACAAATTCCGATGTTATTTTCTTTATAAAAATACATGGGCAAAATGACATCATTTATATAGCCTTCCTTTAATAAATACTCACTAAGACGATTATACCACATTCGTCCTGATTGCTTTAGATCATACAACGATCTTTGTAATTTGATTGAAAACATTTCCCGTGACTTTGAATTATTTGCTTTAGGCATTTTGAATCCCTCGGGAATTTTTATGTATATCTCATATCAAGTGAGCCATAAAGGTTAGAGGTAACCACATCCATTAAATGCATGTCAAACTTTTCATAGATAGCAAAACTAATGAGATAACAAAGCGTTATAGCATCCATAACGGGTGAATATGTCTCTTCATAGTCGACACCAGACCTTTGTGAAAATTCTTGTGCAACAAGGCGTGCCTTATATCTTTGTACCTCATTTTTTTCATTCCTTTTACGTACAAAGATCCATTTATAGCCAACAGGCTTAACACCATTAGGTGTTTGGACTACAGGCCCAAAAACTTCACGTTTTGCAAGTGAATTCAACTCTGATTGGATTGCTTCTTGCCATTTTGGCCAATCAAGTCTTTGCCGGCATTCTCCAACAGATTGAGGTTCAAGATCCTCACTTTCTTGCATAATGCTAGATGCAATATTTTATGCAAAGACATAATCTACCACTATATTCACTCGATTCAAATTTGTCTCAATATCAATTGGATTTATTGATAGTTCCTTATTTTCTTGAGTCTCGGGCTCAGTGGATTCCTCATGAATCTCAGAATTTATAAAATTGTGGATTTCTTCATGAGATTCTTTCGTAGTGTCATTTTGATCATTTGTTTTCCTTTTTCTAGGATTTCGATCTTTGGAACCTAATGGTCTGCCACGTTTTAGGCGTGCTTTTGACCCATTAGCTATGACACTAGAAGATTGTCCAATAGAGACATCAATACGGATTGGAACATTCTCTGCAAGGATATGTGATTTTGTTATCCTTTTCAAATCCATAAATGCGTCTGGCATTTGATTTGATATTCTCTGCAAATGGATAATCTTTTGCACATCTTTTTCACAAATAGAGGCACGTGGATCAAGATGAGATAATGATGGGGTTTTCCACAAAATTTTCTGTTTGGTTTCACCAACTTCTCCCCCTAATTTTGGGAAAAGTGTCTAATCGAATCGACAATCTGCAAATCTAGCAGTGATTAAATTCCCTGTTAATGTTTCAAGATAGCGAATAATGTAGGGCGATTCAAACCCAACATATATTCCTAACCTTCTTTGGGGACCCATTTTGGTGTGATATGGCGGTGCTACAGGCACATATATTGTGCATCAAAAAATTCTTAAATGGGATATATTAGGTTCATGACCCAAAACTAATTACAACGGGGAATATTTATGATAATTTGTCGGTCTTAGACGAACTAGCATTGCTGCATGCAAAATGGCGTGACCCCAAACAGAAGTGGGCAACCTCGTTTTCATGAGTAACAGTCTTGCTATCAATTGTAGACGTTTAATTAAAGACTCTCCAAGACCATTTTGAGTGTGAACATGAGCTACAGGATATTCCACTTTTATCCCAATTGATAAGCAATAATCATTAAATGCTTGGGATGAAAACTCAGCAACATTATCAAATCTAATAGACTTAATTGGATTATCGAAAAAATTGTGCCCATAATCGAATTATTTGTGCCATTAATTTTGCAAACCCGAGGTTGCGAGATGACAATAGGCACACATGAGACCATTTAGAAGATGCGTCTATTAAGACCATAAAATATCTAAACGATCCACTAGGTGGGTGAATAGGTCCACAAATGTCCCCTTGTATACGTTAGATGGGTGAATAGGTCCACAAATGTCCCCTTGTATATGTTCCAAAAATGTTGGGGATTCAATTCCAACATTTGTTAGTGATGGTCTAATAATTAACTTGCCTTGATAACAAGAAGTGCAAGAAAATTCATTATTTAAAAGAATCTTTAAATTCTTTAATGAATGCCCATTTGAGTTTTCTATAATTCGTCTCATCATAATTGATCCAGGGTGTCCCAATCGATCATGCCAAAATACAAAAGTATTGGAATCAGTAACCTTTTGGTTCACAGTAGAATGTGCCTCAATTGCACTAATTCTTGTCCAATACAGGCCACAAGATAAAGATAAGAACTTCTCAATAACCCTCTTTTGGCCAGAGACATTCTTGGTAATGATGAGATATTCAAGATTATTCTCATCTATTGTCTCAATATGATATCCATTTCGGCGGATATCTTTAAAGCTCAACAAGTCCCTCTTGGACTTGGAGGAGAACATTGCATTCTCTATGATAAGTATTGTTCCCTTAGGCAGAGTTATAGTAGCTCTTCTAGAGCCTTTAATTAATTTACTACTACCAGAAATTGTAGTAACATTTACCTTACACATACTTAAATGAGAGAAATATTTCTTCTCTTTAAATATTGTATGTGTCGTACATGAATCAACTAAATAAATATTTTTACAATTGAACGTTGATCCATATTTGCTTTGTGAAATATCCATATTTGCTTCCCATATTTTGACATACAAAAGAAATATACTAATAAGCATTAGTATTTTCAGAGAAAATGGGAAGAAAACAAAGTTAAACCAATGATAAATAATGACATCTTAATAACAATTACGCAACTAATAATGTACTATGAACTATTCAGTGAGTATATTATTATTTACATAATTTCTATGCATATGACTGTTGATAACAAAATAACAACTTAATTACAACAAAACAAGTCAAACATTGATAATATAGCTGTCAAGCAAATTAAAAATTATACAGTTGTTTTGTATTTTTAATTTTGTTTCTTTAATTATTCTACATACACAAAGCTGCATGCGTGTGTTATATATATTCTACTAAGTCATTGTTCATCAATCAAGCATTAATTAAGAATTGCATAAAAAAAATATTGCTATTAAATTTAAAATTTCTTTAAAATATAGACAATATATATAAATCATAGTATAATTACTTTATCGGTTAAACATGATAATGTCATGTATCAAAGATCACATGCACACTCCGATTTGAAACAATATTTACTATGAGTTATTTAAATTGCATTAAGTATTAATAAAACCAAATTACCTACTTATTTAATTACACAACAATGTAATGGTAACAATGTTTTTTTTGATACTGCGACTTTAGAGTTGCATTATACAAGTCACACTAAAAAAACGATGAGTCACGTTAATTGCAAGCAAACATCTCAGTTTATACCATTATCTGACAGTGTTATCATATTAGAACACATAAACACTAGTTGTGAAATCATCATCTACATTTTCAGAAAATTCATTACTAAAGTTAAGATGACGCTTTTTCTATGAGCTATACTATTTTATAAAATAAATAATACTAATGACTACTACTCATGTAAAGAACTATGGTTACATGATGTTTATTCACTAGCTAATACAAATAAGCAAAATCAAACTACTCAATCTTTCTTAACCACAGATCCATCACCGATCAAGTGGTCTATTTTTCCATCAGGGCGCTCAAAGAAGTCTGGCACATCTAAATGGGTGATGTCAAATTCATTGTCATAGACAAAATTAGCTTTAGGGCCTTTATTCTTTAGAGATGTTTGATAAAGTTCAACCAAATGTCTTGGTACACGATAAATATTTGTCCAATGCCCTTTTCCACTTTTGGTGGTTATTTCTCTTCGGAGGGTGATTAACACCAGGAAAATATCTTCCTTGTCTACGGCCACGACCATGACCACGACCACGACCACGAATAGGGCCACGACCTTTTCCACGCTTAGCATAATGGGAATACACCCCATCCACTTCAGGCAATGATGTAGACCCAGTGGGTTGATTTTCGTGATTTCTCATGAGCAAGTCATTTTTTCGTTCAGCCACAAGGAGAAGAGAAATCTACTTAGAGTACTTTTTGAAACCTTTCTCTATGTACTGCTATTGCAGGACCATATTGGAGGCATGAATCGTTGTAAACGTTTTTTCAAGCATATCATAGATAGTATCTCCTTTCTCTTATATATTGTTGTTATTTTTAATACGCATTTTTATGGTACTAATATATCATCTCCTATTGCTTTTTGAGCCGAGGGTCTCCTGGAAACAGCCTCTCTACCCTTCGGGGTAAGGGTAAGGTCTGCGTATATATTACCCTCCCCAGACCCCACTTGTGGGATTATACTGGGTCGTTGTTGTTGTTGTTGTATCATAGATAGTATCTCCACAGAGTTTCAATTTAGAAGTAATTCTGAACATCGCAGAATTATATTCTGAAATAAACTTAAAGTCTTGGAGCCTCAGATGAGCCCAATCATATCGTGCTTGTGGAAGAGTGACCAATTTTGAGTTGTCATATCTTTCCTTTAAGCTATTCCACAAAACACGTGGATCTTTGACTGTGAAATATTCTATTTTCAACTCTTCATCAAGGTGATGGCTCAAGAAAATCAAGGCCTTAGCACAGTCTTGGGTGGATGCTTTAGTTTTGTCTTTAATGGCGTCTCCAAGACTCATTGCATCTAAATGGATTTCAGCATCCAACACCCATGTCATATAGTTCTTGCCCGAAATTTCAAGGGCAACGAACTTTCTTTTCATAATGTCAGTCATAGTTAAAAGGTTTCTTTTCATAATGTCAGTCATAGTTAAAAAGAGGAGAAAAGTTATATCTTAGTCTTCCCAAAGGCTTCTTGAGACGGTAGAGTCTCGTGCTGATAACGTGTAATGAAATAATAAAAGAAGAAGAACAATATTGCAGAGAAAAAGAGGAAATTCTTATTGAATTTTGGGATGATTTACAATAGGGTAAGACCCTTTATTTATAGTAGGAAATAACTTAGCCACAAAATAAAACTTCAACACAAAATAGATATTCCCTCTAAATAGAATTGTATTCGTAACGCCCGCAAAGTTTTGACTAATAAAACCCAGAAACACGATTGTCAAGAAAACCACAAGGACTAATATATTAGGCTACTGAAAACCCAGTAACTTTTGGTTCCAATTACCAAAATGACCTTGAACTCGGAGTCGCCGTCAACGAGCAACCGAGACTGGTTTTTCCCTTCACAATCGTTCAACGTTCCCCGAAGTCCGGCCCGGAGATTCTTTTCTCCTTACCCTCGAACGACGACCTCCTTCCAGAATTCTTCTTCAAATTTTACTTCGCCTCTGGCTGTACCCCGAACTTTACGACGCCGTATTAGTCACCGCCGCCGGATTCAGAACTCTGCTGGTGCTACTACAGATGAAATCGGCGGAAATTCAAACGATGCCGTTCTCATCCAGTCGGAGGACTGTCCAAGCTCCGGTAACAAAAGGACAACGTCGGCTCATAAGAAATATACCGACTTTGTTCGTTGGCGAATGGCGTGCGTTATTGCAGTAACCTCTCTCTCTCCACATTGGCTAATTTTTACAAGATTATTGTTATTATGGAGAAGATTGCCGTTTTTTCTTCTTCGTTTGAATAGTTTTGTTTGAACTGCGTACTAGAAAGAAAATAGTTCGGTGGCGTTAGTTTTAGAAAAAGGTTGAGATATTTCCTTTTTGAATTTTTTTCCCTGTTTTATTTTTTCAACCAAACCCATTAAGAAACTGTAAACCTTTTCTCTAATGGTTTTTGGTCGAGAAAATTTTCCCAATTCTTTTTGATAAAACAAAATATGTTGCCGAGTTCTTTTTTACATTTTTGTAAAATATGGAAAAACAATTCAACATTGTTGCAAAATAAATGCTTCCTTAATTGGGGTTGAGTATGTAAATTACGATTTTGGTATATATTTTGGGTGCAGATGGTGGTGATGTGCTTTACATCTCTTCTGCACAAAAACTTTTCTTTGCAATATCAAGTTAGTGATTTGCAGGTAACTTCCAGTATCAAGATTTCTGACATGCATATAATTGTGTGTGTATGTATGTAAGTACGTTAGCAAGTTCGTGTGAAAGTTATACTACGTTGATACAATGATCATAGAATTACTACTTCTTCCAAAGGCTAAAGTTACGATGACCATGTTGATTCCATTTGTACCTCACTGTTGTTATTTGAAAAGTTCAAACGTTTTTCCTCTACTCCGGTTTTCTTAAACGTCTTTTATGCATTTTAGTTTTTCTTTTTCTAAATTTGGTCTGTACTACTCCTACTTATAAGATTTCTAGATATGTAAATCTTATTTCCCAAAAATCAAAGGCAATACTGGCCAAGGTCAACCGTAAATAGATATTTTGACCTTACACTTCAAGCCCCATCATTATTTTTTGAGGCGGAAGGGGTGGTCTGTTATTTATTGGACTGCCAGAATAACCCCAGGAAGGAAAGGGGAAGGAAACACCATGTAGGAATTGAACATGTTCAAAAGTTCAGCTCTAATCACGCAATTTTCCGTTTTCCATTCTTTAGACTAGATATGATTCTACTTGAATCTAAGTTGGCATTCAATTTTTTGATAATAAATGGTAAATCTTATTAGACAAATAGTGCTAAGAAGGGACTAAAAATTTTCAAAAGTTCCTGTTGCCCTCCTCCTATGCAAGGACTCCATTAATTCCAAGATATCTTCAATGTCATTTGCTATATATTCCTTTTACTCCAGATATGCAAATTTTAACTACATTTCAACTTTACATAAGAGATACAGTCTTTTCTCCCCTAATCTTTTCTCCCCTAAAATATCCTGCTAGTTCTTTTTACTCAAATGTCCACAGTATACACCATTGGATTGTTTTCCATGCTTCTTTGCGCCTTTTCTCTATCTTCTGCCTTTTTCAGCAGCTTAGTATTTGTCTCAAATTTACAGGCATTACTGATTGGAGTCCATATAAGTTTAGGAATTCCATATCGGCCAAATAACTAGGCAATGGAGTAAAAAAAATGACTGTCTTATTCAGTTGCTTCCTTGCATTTGCTACATCTGCTGCACACACTGTAGCCTCTTCATTGTGAGTTACTTTGTGTCAAACAAGACTCTTGAAATGGCTACTTTAGGTGGAGCTCTTACTTTCCAGATCATCCTCCAAGGCCAACTCAAGTACTATCCATGAAAAGAAACCGTACGAATGTATAGCATTCACCTTTTCCAGTTATAAATTGACTTAAGTGTGCTTAATTTACTTTCTCGTAACTTTTCGCATGTGCAATTATATTGATGCTATAAATCTGGGCATTTGAGAAGTATAATTTGGCTGACATACATGGAAGATATTACTGGATCAGTCCCCTAACTGTCTACTTGTTTCTCTTTTCCTTCTTGTTATTCAGGATGAGTTTTCAACGCTCAATGCCAGATTGAGACACTGCAACATTTCAGATTCTATTGACATTATTGACTCAACGCCAGAACATAATATTTCCAGTGCAAGTTTAAAAATTACGGCATTGATTCTCTCACTCATGATGTTGTCCCTTCCTCTTGTTTTTATTAAATATATGGAGTATATCTCCAACGTTAGAAGACAGTTGGACAATACGACGGAGGAATTATCTCTGAACAAGCGGCTAGCTTACCGGGTGGATGTATTCTTATCGTTTCATCCTTATGCTAAACCACTAACCTTGTTAATTGCCACTTTGCTCCTGATTTCTCTTGGTGGCTTAGCACTTTTTGGCGTGACAGATGATAGCATAGCAGACTGCCTTTGGTTATCATGGACATATGTTGCAAATTCAGGAAATCATACTAATTCTGAGGGCATTGGTCCTCGTCTAGTGTCAGTTTCTGTTAGTTTCGGTGGAATGCTGATATTTGCCATGATGCTTGGACTAGTTTCTGATGCAATCTCAGAGAAATTTGACTCACTCAGGAAGGGAAGAAGTGAAGTAGTTGAGCAGAATCACACACTTATACTTGGTTGGAGTGATAAGCTGGTGGGTTTTGTAAATTTACTAGTCTGTTTTCTGACAAGCTCATAAGTTTTTCTTTTCCCTAGATAACTGTCCTCAAACTGTTTTTAGCACCTGATCTGCATCACAATCTACCTAGTAGGGGTTTTCTTATTTTGCATTGTTCAGAAGCCCTCTCTAAATTGCTTAAGATATCACCTCTCATTACTCCAAGAAAATGAGATGAAGCTCCAAAGGTTTGAATTTTCCTTTTATTTCTATAATAATAACTTTCAAGTGAATGGAGTAGAATCAGAAGAACCACATTAATTTTATTGCTCCAATTATTGTCCTGGTCAATCTTGTTTTTCTTTCAATTGGAGACAACCACATTAATTTTATTGATTGTCCTTTCCCTATTATTGACCATGCTCCATGACAATAACGAGATTACCAGGACAACAGTCGTCATTATTATGTAAGCAATTGGAACACAATTGAAAACTATCATCTAACTTTGATTAGTTGGCCTTGCAAAAAACTTATTTACATAGTGCAGCTGAGTATTACTGATATTTGCTGGAGATCTCTTAATAGCTCTGTATATTCTGGACAATATAAAGTGCCTCAGAGAAGTACCGGCCTTATTCACAAAGAGTACATCTGTATACCCAGGGATCATTGCTGAATCAACTCGCAATAGCTAATGAGAGTTTGGGGGGTGGAACAGTTGTAGTCATGGCTGAGCGAGACAAAGAAGAGATGGAACTTGATATTGCTAAAATGGAGTTTGATTTTAGAGGAACTTCTGTCATATGTAGAAGTGGAAGCCCCTTGATTCTGGCTGACCTGAAAAAGGTATGCATTAAGTTTTGTTTCCAAACATAAATTATGTCTTAAAAGACCTTTTGTTCCCTGTTTTACATTGGTATAGAATGTAATTTTTATTTTAGAGATCTGATTCTCAATGCTTTATCCTGAAATTTTGCTAGTGTTTCACTCTTCTGAGTTTAAACAGCTTCTCATCAAGAGCCCACTTCTTTTCTCATGCTTTGATTGTTTAGAGAATGCTCCTGTAGTTTTCCAGAATTTGTAAGTTAAATAATTTTTTGAACTCACTAGATAAATCTTTAGTAGGTGTCCGTCTCTAAGGCTCGTGCAATAGTTGTCCTTGCTGAAGATGGGAATGCTGACCAGGTCAGAGCAATAACTATTTTTAGTAACTCATTTTCAGGATTGAAAGTTGTAGCAGGTATTAATAAAAAATTTATAATGTAGAGTGATGCCCGTGCTCTGAGGACAGTTTTAAGCCTGACAGGAGTAAAGGAAGGTCTTCGGGGGCACATAGTGGTTGAACTCAGTGATCTTGATAATGAGGTTCTTGTGAAACTTGTTGGTGGAGATCTTGTTGAAACTGTGGTGGCTCATGACGTAATTGGGCGATTAATGATCCAATGTGCTCGACAGCCAGGCCTTGCACAGGTCAGCTTCTTAGCTATGATCAAATTTGCTTTGTGACTAATGTCTAATTTAAACCTAGCTACTAAATTGAGTGGGAGATGAAATACTATCTGTGTCAATGAATCAAATTTTTTTCTCTATGGACTTGGCAATGGCAGATATGGGAAGACATCCTTGGATTTGAGAATTGCGAGTTCTACATCAAGAAATGGCCACAATTTCATGGTATGCAATTTGAAGAAGTCCTAATCAGTTTTCCTGATGCTATTCCTTGTGGCATCAAGGTGGCATCATCAGGTGGAAAAATAATACTGAATCCCGATGATTCCTATCTGTTGCAAGAAGGAGATGAGGTCCTTGTTATTGCTGAGGATGATGACTCATATGCTCCAGCACCACTGCCTATGGTGCGTACCCTGTTCTTAATATAACTATGTTCTTAATTTAACTATCTTCGCTTGTTTCTCTGCTTGAAACGTAATCAACCCAAATTGCAAGTTATAATGATGATAAAAAAGTGAATGAATAGCGTATTCATCAATAAAAAGGGTGGTCTTTTGGTGTAACTTAAGATTTAGATATATGTTGACTGTCGAGAACCTTTTGCTTGACTTCTATTTAGATGAGATGAACTGCATTCTATGTTTATTTATAGTCAATGTGTAGATTTTGAGAAGAAGAAAAGGCTTCTTATATTTTTGTGTTTGTTTACATCCCATGAACAGAGAAATTTATACAAAGCTCCTAATATTAATTAAGGAAATAAAATAAATCCATACAATCAATCCAGCTATTCGTAAAATTATGCTAATCAACACTCATAAATCAAATCTCCTTGAATCATGCTAATCAACACTCCCACTCAAGTTGGTGCAAAGATGTCGCACATGCCCAACTTGCAACTCAAAGTATAGAAAGTTCGCTTGTTGAGACCTTTGGTAAACACATCAGCTAGCTGTTTTTTCGATGGCACATGAAACAAACTCAACACACTAGTTGTAACTTTTTCTTTGATGAAGTGTGATCGATTTCCACATGCTTTGTTTGGTCATGCTGGACTGGATTATGAGCTATACTGATGGCAGCTTGTTGTCACAGTACAAGGAAAGTTTTTCTTTTTCAGACGGTCTCAATTCCTGTAGTAGCTTTTGTAGCCAAAACAGTTCGCAAACACCCTAGGCCATAGCTCTATATTCTGCCTTCACACTTGATTTAGCAACTACACTTAGCTTCTTGCTTCTCCAAGTAATCAAGTTTCCTCCTACGAGTGTACAATAATCGGATGTTGATCTTCTGTCATCTAGAGATCCAACCCAATCTGTGTCCGTAAAGGCTTCTATTTGGAGGTGATCATGTTTGGAGAAAAGTAGGCCTTTCCTTGGAGCAAACTTCAGATACCGCAAAATGTGGAAGACATCTTGCATATGAGGATCTTGGGGATCATGCATGAACTGACTCACCAGGCTAACTGAATAGGCTATGTTTGGTTAGTGTGGGAGAGATAAATGAGTCTTCTAGCCAACCTCTGATATCTCTCCTTATCAATGGACTCTCCAACTCCGCTTTGTAACTTGTGATTGCTTTCAATGGGCGATTCTACGGGTCTGCAACCTATCATACCAGTTTCTTTCAAGAGATCCAGAATATATTTCCTTTGAGAAATAAAGATCTCTTTTTTTGGATCTAGCAACCTCAATTCCTAAGAAGTACTGCAATTTTCTTAGATCCTTGATCTCAAATTCATGTGCCAACAAGTTCTTCAATCGTGCCATCTTCTCTTTGTCATCTCCGGTTATTACTATGTCATCAACATAAACTATGAGAAGAGTGAGTTTACCCGTTTGATATCTTATGAAGAGGGTGTGATCAACATTGCTTTGTTGGTAACCGAAGGAGATTATTGCTTTGCTGAATCTGTCAAACCAAGCTCTAGGGGATTGCTTCAGTCCGTACAAGGCTTTCTTCGATCTGCATACCTTTCCTTGACTCTATGCAATATCAAATCCAGAGGAATCTCCATATACACCTCTTCTTCTAAGTTTACACGAAGAAATGCTTTCTTCCCATCAAATTGTTGCAAGTCCCTATCAAGATTAGCTGCATAAAACAAGAATTCTAATAGTGTTCATCTTAGCAATAGGGTCAAATGTCTTTTGATAATCCACTCATAAGTCTGAGTGAATCCCTTAGCAACCAATCTTGCTTTGAATCATTCAATTGAGTCATCAGCTTTGTGCTTCACAGTGAAGACCCATTTACAGCCAACCAACTTCTTGTCTGGTGGTGAAGTGACAAGTTTCCAAGTCTCATTTTTTTGACAAGGCCTTCAGTTCTTCATCCTAGCTTGTTTCCATTTGAGATCTGCAAAAGCTTCCCTCCGATTCTGGGGAATAGACACAAAAGAAATAGACTAGCCAAAGGCTTTATAGGAGGGAGACAGAATTATAGGAGATAAAATTAGATAAAGGGTATTTGATTGTGCAAGATTTGACTCCTTTGCTGTGAGCAATAGGCGCATCTAACTCATTAGGAAATGTAGATAAATCACCGGTAGAAGAAGATTCAGTTTCGGTAGATTGTATGATGGCTTCTTCTGCTCCATTTCTCCTTGAGTAAGTTTTCAAATTAGGCCTATCCGAACGCCCAATAGTCTCTCCCTGAATTCTTTCTCCAATTTCACTTTCTCCTGTGACAATGTCATCAAGAGGTCCAGTAGTGGAAGTAGGTAGAATTACCTCTTCCTCTTTACTGCTCTTGCCCTCCTGAAGAGGTGATGAGGTAATACTGAAATAGGGCTCAGATTCTCGAAAGATAATATCCATGCTAACAAAAGCTCTCCTAGAGGGAGGATGATAATATTTATAACCTTTATGTGTCGGAGAATACCCAATAAAAACACACTTTATAGCTCTAGGATCAAGTTTCCCAAAATTTCTAGTGCGGACTGTGAGAACGCATGAGAGAAAAATATTCTATTGATTTATTAACAATGATACAATGAGCCCTATATATAATATATGTTCTACTCCTACTACACATGAGACTAAGATTATTTATTCATAACTATCTAAAACTCCCCTGAAGCCGGTGCATTCAAATCATAAACACCGAGCTTGTTACATATGTAACTAATACGAGGACTAGTGAGAGACTTGGTGAAAATATCTGCAAGCTGATCATTTGATGCGAGCTGATCATTTGACGTCACAAACTTTGTAGCAATGTCTCTTGAGAGTATTTTTTCTCCGACAAAGTGATAGACAATCTCAATGTGTTTAGTTCTCTCATGGAACACTAGATTTGACGCAATATGAACGGCAGCTTGATTACCACGCACAAGTTCCATCTGGCTGATTTCACCAAATTTCCACTCCTTGAGCAACTGTTTGATCCAAGCTAGTTCACATGTTGCCATAGTCATTGCTCGATATTCTGCTTTTGCATTAGACCGAGCAACCACATTCTATTTCTTGCTCTTCCAAGACACAAAATTACCACCAACCAAAACACAATATCCAGACGTAGAACGTCTATCAAAAGGTGTTCCTGCCCAATCAGCATCTGAGTACCCAACGATCTACTCATGGCCTCGTTCCTCAAACAATAACCCTTTGCATGTAGCTGACTTTACATACCGAAGAATGCGAATGAATGCATCCCAATGACTATCACAGGGAGAATCCATAAACTGACTTACAACATTCACAGAAAAGGAAATGTCAGGTCTAGTCACTATGAGGTAATTTAATTTACCAACCAGTCGCCAATTACCTATCATTTAATTTAGAATTTGGCTCCATCAAAGTGTCCACAGGTCTACAACCTGTCATTCGTATCTGCTCAAGAATGTCTAAGGCATACTTCCGTTGTGAGATCACAATATCGGAGCTAGATTGAGCAACTTCAATACCTAGAAAATATTTTAATCTGCCTAGGTTTTGACATACCTTCAGATATTTGCACGTTATGGAATCTGCAACTATTTAGTCTAAAGTGTTGAAAGAGATGTTGCTTCAACTTAGTAATACCATCCTGATCATTGTCGGTAATAACAATATCATCAACATAAACCACCAGATAAATACAGATATTTAGACCATATGAGTCATGCCAAACTCCTGAATAACTGTGCTGAACTTACCAAACCAGGCTCGAGGAGAATGCTTTAGACTATAAAGTGACCGGCGCAAGCGACATACAAGACCACTAGACTTTCCCTTAGCAACAAAACAAGGTGGTTGCTCCATATAAACTTCATCCTCAAGATCACCGTGAAGAAAAGCATTCTTAATGTCCAACTGATAGAGAGGCCAATGGTGAACACGGAACAACAACCATGGATAGAAAAAGAGGGGTCATCCGGACCAACTTTTGGTATATCCTTTGGCAACAAGAGGGACATTAAGTCGATCAACCTGGCCATCCGGACCAACTTTTGACTGCATAAACCCAACGACAACCAACACTAGATTTACCTGAAGGAAAAGGAACAAGCTCCCAAGTATCACTAGTATGTAAAGCAGACATCTCGTCAATCATAGCTTGTCACCATCCTGGATGAGACAATGCTTCACCTGTAGACTTAGGGATGGAAACAAAGGACAAAGAAGATACAAACGCATAATGGGGTGATGATAGACGATGATAACTTAATCCGACGTAATGGGGATTAGGATTAAGTATGGTCCGTGTACCTTTCCGAAGTGCAATTGGTTGACTAAGAGGAGACAAATCTGCAGTAGGAGCAGGGTCAGGTGCAGGACGTTAATCAATTGGGCCTGATGCTGGATGCAGACACCTATGATAAGCTAAAAGAGGTGTTCCTGTGTTCAGGGATCTGGGAGGAACAACACTAGATTCCTCAATGCTCAGTATGGGTAAGACTTCTATGGCGGAAGATGTAGAAGGAGTTATAGTTAACTTCTCAAAAGTCGGTATAGGTAAGACCTCTGATATATCAAGGTGATCAGAATAGGTGAAGTAAGGTCGAGACTCAAAAAATGTGACATCGGCTGACATAAAGTACCTACGAAGATCAGGTGAGTAGCAACGATATCCCTTTTGAACTCGAGAATAACTAAGGAAGACACACTTGAGAGCACGAGGAATTAACTTATCTTTTTCCAGAGCTATGTTATGAACGAAACATGTGCTCCCAAACACACGAGGGGGAAGAGAGTATAAGGGTGACTGAGGAAATAATACCAAATACAGAATCTGACTATGGATGGAAGATGAAGGCATTCGATTAATCTAGAACTACATCACCCCAAAAATGCAGCGGAACATGAGATTCAATTAGAAGTGTGCGAGCAGTCTCAATAAGGTGTCTATTATTTCTCTCTGCTACCCCATTCTGCTGAGGGGTATACGAACAAAATGTCTGATGAATAATTCCTTGTGAAGTCATAAACTGTTGAAATTGAGAGGATAAGTATTCTAAGGCATTATCACTATGAAAGATACGAATAGAAATGCCAAACTGATTTTTATTTCAGCACAAAAACTTTGGAATGTAGAAAACAACTCAGAACATGTTCATTAGGAAAATCCAAGTACATCTTGAGTAATCATCGATGAAACTAACAAAATAACGAAACCATAAGGTTGAACTGACTCTACTAGTACCCATATATCAGAATGAACTAAAGAAAAAACAGACTCTGCATGACTCAACATTATGCGAAAAAGTGGCTCGGGTATGTTTTCTAAGTTGACACGACTCACAATCTAATGTAGACAAACTAGATAAACTAGGCACCATCTTTTGAAGCTTGGATAAACTTGGATGTCCTAAACGTTTATGAATTAGGTCTGGAGAATCTATAACTGGACATGCTGTGGAAGGATTGAGTGAGTCAAGGTAGTAAAGGCCTTGTGATTCACACCCTGTGCCAATCGTCTGTATCGTACTGCGGTACTACATAACAAAATAGTCATAAATAAAGTATATACCACAATGGAGGACACGAGTCAACCGACTAACCGATGCAAGATTAAAAGGATAACCAGAGACATAAAGAACAGACTCTAAAGTGACAGAGGATAATGGATTAGCTTGTCCAACTCCTTTTGCTTTTGTTTGGACTCCATTGGGTAAAGTAACACTGGGAAGAGACAGTGAATAAACAATATTTGACAAAAGTGGCCTATTACCATAAATATGATCAGAGGCGTCTGAATCCATGACCCACGATCCAAGAGTAGTAGACCGGGAAATACAAGCAAGAATTACCAGCAACAGAAGTATCAGTCTGAGCAATAGAGGCTACTTGTGGAGGTGTTTGCTTACTTGCTCGATACTGAAAGAACTCATTATATTCCCCTTCAGATAAAGAAAACCTCTGGTTACTTGCCGTCTCTGTTTGAGCAATATGAGCATTTTTAGGTGGTTGACCATGCAAGGAGTAACACACCTCACGGGCGTGTCCACGTCTATTACAATAAGAATACCTGGGTCGAGACCTTCCAAAACGAGCTACTCCTCGTCTATTCTCCATAATATGAGATACCCGATTTTCCACTGTCTGGGATGCGAGAACAAGGAGTCAGCTAGCTGTCTGTGATGAGATCACTATGTGACTAGGCGCTGCAGCATGGCGAAGTAATCGACAGAATAGTTCATCAACTGTAGGGGCAGTCGGACTAGCCAAAATCTGGTCACGCACTGAATCAAGGTCATTAGGAAGTCCAGTGAGTGTAAGAACTAGAAACATCTTTTGTCGTTGCTCTTGATGCTTTTTAACAACGGCATCAACTTCTCAAATTCCTCCCTGACTGCCCGTACTTGTCCCAAGTAAGTCGACATATCCAATTCCCGTTTTTTCAAATTTGTCATTCGCGATATCACATCGAAGAAACAAGATATGTCATTAGCGTATAAAATACGAGCCTTTCCCAAACTAAATGACATGCTTGGAACAGACGAAACAAATGCATCAACTTGGAATCAATAGATCACCACAAGATACTACATAACTGGGCATCGATCTTTTCTCATTGTGCTTTGGCCTTTTAATCTCCCTCACTAGCCTTTTTGGTTAAGTGGTCTTGAACACCTTGACCTTTACATCACAACTCCACAGACGAAGCCCAATATAAATAATTTGAACTTCCAAGTAGGGGTTCAGAAGTAATCATAAAGGCTGAATTTCCAACTCCACTGTTTTTGGAATCAAAAGCATCAATTTCGAGAGACATGATTGGATCAAATAATTACGAAGTCACAAAATTGGTGGCAAAGTTGGTCCAAAATTGTGTTAGGTTACAAAACTTCCCGAGGACTTTGAAAATTGAGGGGTTTAAGTGGCATTCTGTTGATAAGATAGACAGCTGCTAAAATAGCATCCGGTAGTAAGGTTTTGGTAGATGCATGGTGAAGATAAGATATTTTGCTACTTCTAACACATATTTTTTCTTTCAACGACCCCATGTTGTGCACTAGTGTAAGGACAACTAGTTTGAAGGACTACCCCATTGGACTCCAAATAAGTACCAAATCTTTTATCCATGTATTCGCTGCCATTGTCAGTTCTTAAAATTTTTATTTTGGCATCAAGCTGAGTATAAATCATCTTATAAAATGACTGAAAACAAGAGAAAACTTCACTTTTGTCTTTTAACAAATATAACCAAGTCATCCTAGTGGACCAATCAATGAAAGTAACAAATCCTCGATTACCAGACAAAGAAACAGTTTGGGTAGGACCCCATACATCAGAATAAATAGTCATAAACGGAGTTGTACTTCTATTATCACTCACAGGATAAAAGTTTCTATTATGCTTGATATATTCACACACATCACAAAACAAAGATTCAAATCGAGTCCTTGAAAATAAATCGAGATATAACTTCTTCAAAACAAAAAATGATGGGTGTCCTAACCGTCTATGCCACTGTATTATTTCTTGGTTGCCATCCTTGCTTTCCCCAAAAAAAGCTTGACCAGAGTTTTGAATTCCATCTAATATATACAAGTCATCACGCAATCTACCACGGCCAATTTTTCCTGTTTGATGATCCTGAAAAATACAATGATCGGGAAAGAACTCGATTTTATAGTTTAGAGCTTTGGTGATGGCACTAACAAATAAAAGATTGACAGGGAACTCAAAGACATGGAGCGCGGATGATAGTTTAATATTAGAAGTACAAATAACCGAATCTGTTTTAGAGATAGGTGTTAAAGAACCATTGGCTATTTTAACATTATCTCCTTTGGAACACGGAGAATAATTTTGAATGCCTTTAGAAGAGCCTATCATGTGTCTATTTGCACCAGAATCAACAATCCAAGAATTAAGGTGAGCAGTAAAGGCAATACCTGAATGCACATGGTTGGATGTGGCAAAATTAGCGGAGTCAAGTTTGGCTAGGAGGTGGCGGAGAAGCTGAATTTCATCCGAAGACAAGATTTTTCCAGAAATTGTCTCCTTGAATGTCTCCATATTGCTGGCCAATCAGAAAGAAATCTGAAGAAAATTGCTCAAAAATAATCTGCCTCGCTGGCAACCAAATCTGTCTCGAGCGAACCTTAGCTCCAGTGAACGGAAAAATCAAAACTGGTAGGGATAGGCTCGGAATGTTCCAACGACCCTAATAGAAAGGAAAATTCCAAAAATAAAACTGACCAGACCTCTACCTCTTTGATAAATACGGACCCTAGGGCTGCGAGGGAGATAACTCACCTCAAAAAGCCAGGAATGGATCTGATACCATGTAGATTTTGAGAAGAAGAAAAGGCTTCTTATGTTTTTGTGTGTATTTACATCCCATGAGCAAGGGAATTTATACAAAGCTCCTAATGCTAATTAGGAAAATAAAATAAATCTATACAATCAATCCAGCTATCAAATCAAATCAAATAAAATTAGATCTCCTAAATATAATCAAATCTCCTGAAATCATGCTAATCAACACTCCTAAATCAAATCTCCTTGAATCATGCTAATCAACACAACAGAATCTAGGTTATGACTTTGGACCACCTTAAATTAGATTGGAAATTTTCGTGCTGCAGAGAAAATTGAGCTTGGATAAAAAAATTAGCAATGTCGACCTCTCAGAATACAAGAAAAAGCTTTTATTAGGTTCATGATAATCATGAAAAAGCTTACTTAAAAGTTGAGAGGAAAAACTCGACAACTTTATTGTTTCAGTGGATCACTTGAAGGAAATCCTCTTCTGCTTTGTAATTGAGAGGGTATTCCAAGCATGGAATTCAAGCAAGCAGAACATGGCATGAATAGACTTTTTAAGGTTTAATTAATTTGGTTATTCAGGTCAAAGAAGCATCTTTGATGCACATTGTCCGACCAACAAGAAAGCCACAGAAGATCCTACTTACTGGATGGGGACGAGACATTGATGATATGATTGTGGTGAGTTTGAATCAAAGCTCCTAATCCTTTTCATTTAACCTGAATTCTGCAGGTTCAGGGAGGAAACTTGCCAAAGAACTTAATTATTCCAAAGACTACAGAGCGGATTCTGTTTTGTGGTTGGCGACGAGATATGGAGGATATGATACTGGTAATCTTGTGAGGAGCTAACTGTATACTTTCCTTACTCATGCAAGCATTTGTCTATAGATTATGGCGGTAGAGATCCCTCGCTTGTTTTCCATATCTTCCTACTTCCTTTCAGGCTGTATATTTGCTTCCATGTTTTCTAATATCTGAATATTTTCTCATTCCATATCTTAGTTCCAGAGACTGATGAAAGAAGCCAAGAAAAAAAAACAAAGTATTTAAAATCTTTAAAATGATGCTCAGTAACTCCAACAACCTCAGCTGTTCATTCTAGGTATTGGATGCCTTCTTAGCGCATGGGTCAGAGTTGTGGATGTTCAATGAAGTTTGCGAGAAGGAAAGAGAAAAGAAGCTAACAGATGGTGGCCTAGATATTAGCCGGCTGGCAAACATAATACTGGTAAACCGCGAGGGTAATGCTGTGATACGGCGACATCTAGAAAGTCTTCCCTTAGAATCATTTGGCTCGGTGAGTAAGATTCGCTAACTATGCACAAAGATGCAGTTTAGGTAGAATGAAGTGATTGTGTGCTGATGTTAACGACACTCAGAAGGATTGGATCCTTTACTCTCTTCTGCTAGAATGGGTGGGAAGTTGGGTGGGGTTGCTGGTGTTCCTGCTCATATTGTGTTTTTTATAACTTGTATTGCTGTTCTTATCTTATCTCTTCTGTGAATATTTTGTCTTCCCTTCTAAGTTTCCACTATTCTTATTTTTTGTTGTTGTGTAGATCTTAATTTTGGCTGATGAGTCAGTGGAAGATTCCGCAATTCAGGCAGATTCCAGATCACTTGCCACATTACTGTTAATACGAGACATTCAGGTGCTTTGTGGAAGGGTTATTTTATATCTTTTCCAGTGCCACATTTATGTTATTTTGTGCCCCTTTACTTCTATTAATGTCTCATGTTTTGTTGTTTTGTTTTATGTAAAGCCAAATTCACCAATTGGCTATCCTGGCCTGTGGTGCTGGGGATTTGGTATTGGCCCCTACCTTGTATATTAAAATCCAAAAATAAATACATAAAGGAGGGGAATATGGAACCTTATCTCCTCAAATCCTAAGCGAGTGTTAGACATGCCCAACACTTTTCATCGATGAAGCTTATAAAAGAATCCTCTAGTGTAACAATACATGTCACAACTATTTGTTGATTGGTTGTACTTTTAGGAAGATTTTATTTTATTTGGTAGTTTGATTTTAGGAATTTGATAGGTGTATTGATTGTATACTAATTGTGCTGATTTATTTAGTTTCATTAATTAGTAATAGGATCTTTGTATAAATTTCCTTGTTCATGGAATGTAGCAATCATCACAGAAATCTCTTCTTGCTAAAGATCTTCATGTTATCACAGCAGGACCCANATATTTTAGGAGGTTTTAACCTACTATTATTTTAGCTTTATTACACTTTTTATTATAGGATAAACATACCAAAAAATTAAAAGCTGAATTATCACTATTAATATTTTTATTATTATTTTTTGTTTCTTTTATATAAAAAAATCCTAAAATATTTTTTGTAAAACAAAAATAATAATTTCGGGAATGATTTAAAAAATAAGAAAAAGGGAAGTATTGAATAAAAAAAAATATATAAAAAATATGTGGAATTCTCTTTTTTTTTTAAAGTAAAAGAATGTAGAAAATTTAAAAAAATAAAAAGTTTTGTGGAAATTTTTAAAAATTTAAAAAGTAAAAGAATGTTGGAATTAAAAAATAAATATAAAGGTATCTGAAAATTTTAAAAATTTAAAAAGTAAAAGAATGTTGGAATTAAAAAATAAATATAAAGGTATCTGAAAATTTTAAAAATTTAAAGTAATTGAAAGTACATTTTTGAAAGAAAAAGAAAAGATAGTGGTTTGTTTTTTTTTTAAAAAAAGTTAAATAAAGTGAGATTCTCTTTTAAAAAAATAAAAAGTGGGATTTTAAATAAGATAAAGTAATTAAAGTTGGAATTTTAAAAATAAAAGTAAATAAAGGTGGGATTTCTTTTTCTAAAAAA